AGTGTGAAGATTTGGGAGTGGAATGGGAGATAGAAGGAAACACAAAGAGAGAGAGGTAGAAAAGGAAAGAGGGGCCAAAAGTTGACAGAGTTGGAAGGGAGAATAGGAAACAGATACTTAATCTTCATTCTATAGACACTCAGTGGAAAGAATTTCTAATACCAGGATTCATGCAGTACTTTGTGGCTTTAAAAAATTTACTTCTTCTAATTGTTGGTTTAACAATGGCCATTGGATGCTTTGTCTTGTTTGTTTTTAAGGGGATAGAAGATCATCCCCTTTTACATTCTTAACATCTTTAGTGTTCTCCAGACAATATAGGTATATATGTTTTTTGTTTTGGTATGTATGTTTATATTACTTTGTTATATCAAATTAAGAATATCGATTTTCATCCAGGTACAGTGGCACATACCTGTCATCCCAGCTACTTGGGAGGCTGAGGAAGGAGAAACACTCAAGCTCAGGAGTTTGAATCTAGCTGGGATTCAAAACCATCTCTTAAAAAAAAAAAAAAAAAGGCAAGGTGCAGGTGTACACACCTGTAATCCCAGCACTTTGGGAGGGCGAGGTAGGAGGATTGCTTGAAGCCAGGAGTTCAAAACCAGCCTGGGCAACATAGCAAGAACCCATCTCCACACTCACACAAAAATGTTTTAAGTTAGCTGGGCATGGTGGCATGTGCCTGTAGACCCAGCTGCTTGAGAGGCTATGATGGGAGGATAACTTGAGCCCAAGAGTTCAAGGATACAGACAGTGAGCTATGGTGACACCACTGCATTCCAGCCTGGGCAATAGAGTGAGGTCTTGTTGAACCTGTCTCTGAAAGAGAAAAAAGCCTGGGCGCGGTGGCTCATTCCTGCAATCTGAGCACTTTGGGAGGCAGAGGCGGGCGGATTACCAGGTCAAGAAATTGAGACCATTCTGCCCAACGTGGTGAAACCCCATCTCTACTAAAAATACAAAAAAATTAGCTGGGCCTGGTGGCATACAGCTGTAATCCCAGCTACTCAGGAGGCTGAGGCAAGTAGAATCACTTGAACCCAGGAGGCGGAGGTGGAGGTTGTAGTGAGCCGAGATCTTACCACTACACTCCAGCCTGGCCGCAGAGGGAGACCCTGACTCAAAAAAAAAAAAAGAGAAAAGAAAAAATTTTCATATCTTCCCTTCTGTAGTAGTTTTTAATAGGACAGAATTAATCACGGCTTTCTCATATATAATATATATTAGATTTTATCTAAGCTTACTAAATTAAATATTACTCTGAATTTAAGAATTTTCTACTTTTCATCTTTCTACCTATGCCACAACTATAGGGAAAGGATGATGTTGTTAAGTAAACTATCCCTCTCTTAAAATTTTGGATAGGATTCGTAATTTATATAATCAGATGTGGGCGTTGTACCCTAAAATATTCCATTAAGTATGTACTTTTACTAGACATTCTTACAAAGCCTTATTTATTCTTTTGACAGGTTGAAGTATTTACTTATTTTTCAGTTTTCAGACATTTTTTTTTAAATTAATTTATTTATTTTTAAGACAGGGTTTCATCATGTTGGCCAGGCTGGTCTTGAACTCCTGGCCTCAGGTGATCCGCCCGCCTCAGCCTCCCAAACTGCTGAGATTACAGTCATGAGCCACCACACCCGGCCTCAACTTTATTTTTAAGACTGCTATTTGAAAAGCATCTAAAAGCACATAGTTTTTCTAATACCAAAAAGGTATTTGCTTTTTTTGTGTTTTTAAGCGTTATCCCTTTCAAGAGTCAGCTTATAAATAAAAATAAAACAGTTAATGCTTAAATAATCTTGACTTTAGTGCTTTTTAGTATGGAGTCTGTCTTTCAAAGAAAGGAGCTTTAAAAATGCCAAAGGTTAAATTGTCTTGAAAGTAACAAACTTGTTCTTTCTGGAATGTAAATACAAATATGTAGAAGATAAATATATTCTAAACCTTTGAGGTCTCATTTGGCCATCTTATGCCTTTGACACATAAACAGATAAATGAGATATTGGAAAAAGTTTTACTAATAATCAGTGAAGTGGAATTTCCATACACTATTTGAAAATGGAGGGAAAGGTTCCAGACTTTACATTTCATTTTTGTAATATATTAATGTAATTTTGTGCCTTTTATTTTCTTATCAGAACAATATATGTCATATTTTTCTTGAATGTTTTTAAAAAACAAGTATCTTGGGCCGGGCGCGGTGGCTCAAGCCTGTAATCCCAGCACTTTGGGAGGCCAAGGCGGGTGGATCACGAGGTCAAGAGATCGAGACCATCCTGGTCAACATGGTGAAACCCCGTCTCTACTAAAAATACAAAACATTAGCTGGGCATGGTGGCACGTGCCTGTAATCCCAGCTACCCAGGAGGCTGAGGCAGGAGAATTGCCTGAACCCAGGAGGCGGAGGTTGCGGTGAGCCGAGATCGCGCCATTGCACTCCAGCCTGGGTAACAAGAGCAAAACTCCGTCTCCAAAAAAAAAAAAAAAAAAAAAAAAAAAAAAAAAGTATCTATTTCCTGTTACTCCAAAAGGTTACCTTTAAATAAACTGATTTTGTTAATTCTTCATCTAAAAGAATATATAATTGTCAGTGTATGACCAATAACCCTTTCCATTCTGTTCACACATTAACCCTGTGGGTTCTAGACAATATTTGTTTTTTGGTTTTTGTTTGTTTCTTTTTTTAGATGGAATTTCGCTCTTGTTGCCCAGGCTGGAGTGTAGTGGCGCAATCTCAGGTTCAAGCAGTTGCCTCCCAGTTTCAACCTCTGCCTCCCAGATTCAAGTGATTTTCCTGCCTTAGCCTCCTGAGTAGCTGGGATTACAAGCATGTGCCAATATACCCAGCTAATTTTTTGTATTTTTAGTAGAGATGGGGTTTTACCATGTTGGCCAAGCTGGTCTCGAACTCCTGATCTCAAGTGATCTACCCTCCTTGGCCTCCCAAAGTATTGGGATTACAGGCGTGAGCCAACTCACCCAGCCAGTGTATTTGATTATACATTCACCATTTCTTTTAAGCTCCCCAGCATTGATGAAAATGGCATTTATCATTTACAAACAGGTTAAATATCTCTTATCTGAAATGCTTCAGACCCAAAGTATTTCAGGTTTTGAATTTTTTTGGACTTCGGAATATTTGCATATATATAATGAGGTTTTCATGGGAATGGGACCCAAGTCTAAACACAGAATTCATTTATGTTTCATATACACCTATACACATAGCCTGAAGGTAATTTTATATAATATTTTAAATAATTTTGTACAGTAAAGTTTCAAAAAGCAAAGGTGTCACTGTTTCAGCCATCTTTGTAAATAATCTGGCATCACTGTCATTCCTGACTCTGAATTTATTTTATTTGTTTTTTTTTTTTTGAGACGGAGTTTCGCTCTTGTTACCCAGGCTGGAGTGCAATGGCGCGATCTCGGCTCACTGCAACCTCCGCCTCCTGGGTTCAGGCAATTCTCCTGCCTCAGCCTCCTCAGTAGCTGGGATTACAGGCACGCGCCACCATGCCCAGCTAATGTTTTATATTTTTAGTAGAGACGGGGTTTCACCATGTTGACCAGGATGGTCTCGATCTCTTGACCTCGTGATCCACCCATCTCGGCCTCCCAAAGTGCTGGGATTACAGGCTTGAGCCACCGCGCCCGGCTTTATTTTTTTTTTTAATTATTTTAAGTTTTAAATTTTTTTTTGATGGAGTCTTGCTCTGTCGCTCAGGCTGGTGTGCAGTGGCACAATCTCGGCTCACTGCAACCTCCATGTCCCAGGTTCAAGCAATTCTCCTGCCTCAGCCTTCCGAGTAGCTGGGATTACAGGTGCCCACCGACACACCCAGCTAAATTTTTGTATTTTTAGTAGAGATGGGGTTTCACCTGCCACTGAATTTATATGCTACCGATAAGCAATCCTTTTCTTGTACATCTTCACACATAACAGTGCAATCATGGCTCACTGCAGCCTTGACCTCAGGGGTTTAAGTGATCCTCCCACCTCAGCCTCTTAAGTAGCTGGGAATTATATGTATATGCTACCATGCCCAGCTAATTTTTTTGATTTTTTTGTAGAGACAAGGCCTCACTGTTGTCCAGGCTAGTTTGAACTCCTGGGCTCAAGTGATCCTCCCACTTCATCCTCCCAAAGTGATGGGATTACAGATGTGAACCACTGCACCTGGCCCAGGTGTGTAAATTTTGGAGCACTGTAGTGGTGCTCAAAAAGTTTGGGATTTTAGAGCATTTGAGATTTTAGATTTTTGGCCAGGAGTGGTGGCTCACACCTGTAAGCACTTTGGGAGGCCAGGGTGGGTGGATCACAAGGTCAGGAGTTCAAGACCAGCCTGACCAACATGGTGAAATCCTGTCTCTACTAAAAATATAAAAATTACCCAGGTGTGGTGGCACACGCCTGTAATCCCAGCTACTCAGGAGGCTGAGGCAGAAGAATTGCTTGAACCCAGGAGGCATAGGTTGCAGTGAGCCAAGATTACGTCACTGCGCTCTAGCCTGGGCAACAGAGTGAGACTTCCTCTCAACAACAAAAAAAAAAAATTAGATTTTTGGATTAGGGATGCTCAACCTGTATTTAACAAAGACAGGATACTTTGTATCAATAGCTGAAGGCTAAATGATGCTGTAATAACACTTAACTTTTAAAAAGGCAACAAAACAAAACTCAGTGGCTTTCAACAACAGAGTTGGGAGAATCATGTGATGGCTCTCAGAGCTTTCACTTGGACTTGGCACATTACTTCAGTTCACATTTGATTACCCAGACCAGTCACATGGCCAAGCCTGATGTCAATAGGGCAAGAATTAGAGCCTTTCCAGATAATTATATTATTGTAAAAATATGTACTGCCCCTCCTTCAACAAAGACAACTCATAGAACTGGATGATTGCAAATTGATTTTAGGTAAGAAATAAGTTTGGGTGGTTCTTTTTATA